AGGGTGCCTAAGGCTAGTAAGAGTAATCGCTAGAGCAGTTAAAACCTATTATTTTTATTTTATAGCTAAAATAAACCTCCGTAGTCCTAGGGTTTTCAGTATCCATATTTTCACATGGTACGGTTGTTTCATGAAGCAGAACTATATTAATAAGGAAGGAAGGAACAGCACAAATTCTATATTAGGGAGGAAGGAAAATTTTTTATTTCTTTTAAAAAGACAAATCCAAATACTTTACTATTATGAGACAGAGCATTTATTCCCCTTTCTGTGTCTGCATCTTTCACATTATTCTCACAACTACTTTTTTCCTATCCAGCAGATGATGATCGTTTTTTGCTGTTGGTGGGGTGCACCTGTGTGGGCTGTAGGCTCAGGTCTGGGCAAAACCAGGGATTTCACAGCATGGATCAGTGCCTGGTCACCGGATGTCTACTAATCAGTGAGCCAAGGTCAGTCATGTAGGAAGAGGAAGAGGATTACTTTGGTGACTACCCCAGCAGAAAACAAAGGGAAAGGCCAGTTCACCATCCATCTGTTCCTATACGTGCATATAGACATGTGCGGGCACACACACATATGTTTACCAACCTGAAAAACCCCAGAAAGGAAGGTTACAGATGCAGCCACCATCACCCTCTCTTCATTTATTGCTGAGATATTCGTGGAAGTGCTATTTCCAGCACTGTCATCCGGGACCAGCCTGATCACGGCTCCTCCCACCATCAGGCTCAAGACAGGGAAGGGACCTGAATAGCACAAGGTGTTTGTTAGAGACCTGAAGGGCCAGTGTGTCCTTCTTCACCAGTGAGGAGGGTGGTTGGTGTGCCGGAACTTACCCACTGAGATATGTCTAGATGTGCCAAAGATAAAATAGACCAGAGCAGGGAAAAACGCTGCATAGAGTCCATAACCAGGGGGGACGTTCACCAGCAAAGCAAAAGCGAGACCTGCAAGGACAGAGACCCGGGCAAGGGGATGAACGTGTTACAGGCTGAAGCCAGCCATTTCTTTGCACCTGGCATAGCAGGCTCTGTCAGGGTACGCGTTTCTCAGAGGTACCTTGCAGGACAGCCACAAGCCCCGTGTTGATGCCGGAGACAATGTCACTCAGGATCCACTCTTTGAAGCGATATGCTGGCAGCCACGAGACGATGGGGAACAAACCCAAGGCACTTTTTTTTACCCTTTGTGGGGAGCAGCTGTAAAGACACAAGAGGAGAGAGCTCTGTTGGTGAATGGCTCAGCTGAGTCACAGCCTGTCTTCGGAGGAGAAACAAAGGGGGAAGGATCCAGGTTCAGGCTGCCAGAGGTGACGATCTTACCCAGACATAGCCCTGATCAACCTACTCTGCCAGCTGTGCTTCAAGGAGGATTCAATGACCTCCAGAGGTCTCTTCCAACCAAATTTTTCATAGAATCATAGAATCACGGGATGGTTCAGGTTGGAAGGGACCTTTAAAGGCCATCTAGTCCAATGCCCCTGCCATGAGCAGGTACATCTTCAACTAAAGCAGGTTGCTCAGAGGACCCTCCAACGTGACCTTGAATGTTTCTGGGGATGGGGTATCTGCGACCTCCCTGGGAAACCTGTTCCAGTGTTTCACCACTATCATGGTAAAAAATTTCTTCCTTATATCCAGTCTGATATAAGGAACCCTCTTTTAGTTTAAAACCATTACCCCTTGTCCTATCGCTGCAGGCCCTATTAAAAAGTCTGTCCACATCTTTCTTATAAGCCCCCTTTAAGTATTGAAAGGCTGCAATAAGGTCTTCCTGGAGTCTGTGCTGCCAAGTGCACAGGAAAAGAGAAGCTGCCTGGGATACAACTGTAGGAAGACTTTTAAGGGTAATATCAGATTAAATTCTTTAGAAAAATATGACATTGCATTTGGTTAATGAGTTTTCATTTGCTTTGTTGGAATCTGAGATGGAAGCTGTCAGGATGGAGTTCATGCTGTCTGAGAGAGGCAGTCTGGGCTGTTTCTTAGATCCACATTTAAAAAAAAAATTAAAATATCCTTACCGAAAATATATTTTCAGGTGATCCCAAAAGGTTTTATGGTATCTGTGCAATTTCTCATGCTCTTCATTGAACAAATTCTCCGAGTACACAGGTCTGGCCACAATATAGTGGTTGCCCACAGGTTCAACCATTTCTCCTGAAATGTCAGGCGAGGATGGTGACTTGTGTGTGCTTCTCTCTGGCTTTAGTGACTTAAAAACCTGAAATGAAGAACGGGGTTAGCTCCTTATGTACTGTGGGGCAGGTAGCCGTAGCATAGATGAGTGAACTCCAAACTGAGTGTTACTGCCTTTGAAGATCAAAAGAGAGATGGTTGAGACACCCGCTCTGCTTTGACAAAGTGATCTCCTGCCCCCCTCCTCCTCCCACTGCAGGGCAGTGTTTCACTGGAGCATGAAGTATTTCTTTCTAAAGATGCAGCCAAAAAGTGGACAAGATGGATTTTGAGTTAATTTATCCCCAAGTCAGTCGTCTACAATCAAAACTTGCCTCCCTCAAGGGAGACTAGTTCCTTAAAGAATATACAATCAGTTCCCAAGCCGTTTCTCTTTGTGGCACCACTGGGAGGGTTGGGAGCTTACTGAAACCCACCGATACGTGAGGGGAAAGGCAGAGCCAAGGCAGGGCTCAGCTGTCCTCTCTTGGACCCAGAGACAGGGCTGAACCTTTCGGCTTGGCTCTGTGTGACGAGGAGGTTAGGCACAGTAGTAAAAAAGCACGGTGTTGCTGCTTGTTAAGTTATTTGTAAGGTTTATTTCCACAGGTTGTCTGGACTGCTTCTCCTCTGTTTCATGCTCACAAACAGTTGTTGCAATGTCTGACCTAAATACTATTTTCTGCTGTGTCCCAACCCACATTCACATGTTTGTGCTGAACAGAAACTGTCCTCGGTCACTCCAGATATGACCCCTGAAGCGCAGGTTACACATGAGAAGATTCAAGATCTGCTTCAGTTGATAACACTGGGTGTTTTGCAGCAATTAATTGATGATGTCACTGTGCTGCCCACTGTGTTGTTACGTTTCTCTCAATGCCTCACATTCTTCCCACATTAAATTCACCTGAACAAATGTCCTATCTAAAAACATTTCTCTCTGCTGTAGCCACCATTAAACACTTAATACAGCACCGGTCCTAGACAGGAGCTGTGGGACCTGTTCTTGGTAGTCACTGTTGGACTAGATGATCACTGTAAGTCCCTTCCAAGTGAACCAGTCTAGTCTAGCCTATTTTCTTTTGACTCAGAGGCAAAGATGTACTATAGGATGCAAAAAGTCTTTTGTGATGTCGATAATAGAGTGTTTATCTTTGTTTTCTTTCGCCTAGTGATTTCAAATGCTCCTTAGTGCCTTGGTGCTTACTGGTGGTCTCATGAGATATCCCCAACCAACACTAGTTCCTCACCCAAGTCCATTGCCTGACTCGTGCATTTCTAATTCAGACTTGTGTGTACACAATATTTGGAGATATCACAGGACACATTTTCAAGTGGCACAAAGCAGTTTGCGTAGTTATGAGCAGCTGGAAAGCTTTTTATCTATGACAATTTTGGCATTAAAATGTGAATCCCATCCTGAAACTTTGCTATAGCTTAGGGCCCATTATTGACCTATTTCAAGTGATTTCATTTTAGTTTCCTCCTAGTTCATTCTGGGGAAATTAATGGATGTGTAGAAGTCCAAATAATGTTAGATGAACCTGTTAGATAAACTCTTTTGTTGATATACTATTTTTCCACAAAGGACTCGCTATTTTGGCAATGGGTTAAACATTTTTGCTATCTTTTTTAACATTAAAAAAAAATAGATCTGTAATATTTTCCAAAAACTAGCAGGTAATTATTCTAACAGACTAATACTCAAAATCTAAGCTCATTCAGGACCCTGATTCAAAGTCAGTTAAAATCATACTTCAATCCTGTAACTGTACACTACTGTCTCTCCCTCTGCTGGGATCAGAAGCTGATGAAATTTCAGTGAAAAAATTGGTTAATTTAGCTCTTTCTCTCATAAGTCTCAGTGTTCTTATATTTGCAGGATGAAGTTTTATCTATCAAAGATTTTAGAATTGCTCTGTTTCATAGCCTGTGCATCACTCTTTTAGACTTCACGTCAGAGAAAGAAATATTGCGGAAAGCCCAGCTGAATAGTTGTGTTCATTACTTTGTAGGGCACAAGGTGTACTGTTTGTACCCTTTGAAATGTTCATAAGTCATAACAATAAAAGAAGTGCATGGGTTACTCTTTCGTTTCAGATTTTCCCCAGTGCTGCAGCTGCTGTAGCTTTCCTGAGTACTTTAGCTGTCACTCCTGCCCCTTGCCCAGCCTTTATTCTTTCCTCAGGCCAAATGTAATGTCCCATCTCAGGGAATGTACAATATGCCTCTTTACAACTCTCCAAATCTACTTTGGTTTAGCAGTGCTGGTCTTGTTGAAGGTGTAAGTATTTTGTGTGTGTTTTTTCCTTCCTGACAGGAGCCCAAATTTACCAACTCTTCAACTGGTTTGGTTCAGTGGCTGAGAGCTGCAGAAGGAGTCCTGGAACCTCGTCCCAAGGGTCTCATCAGGCTGAATCATGTGAGCATAAGTCTGCTCTGAAGGCTGTAGTGCCACATGGCATTACTCAAGTTAAGTTTAACGAAGCCAGCCTGAGAACCTGAAGTGCAACATAAAGTGCCTTCAACCTGTTTCCTGGCAGGTAAATGAGACCATACGGTGCTGCACCTTGCTGCAGCTAGATGACCACTACTGCAAGTCACCTGCTAGTTGAGCTTTTCTCATCTGGTTCCCTCTCCCATGGGCTCTATCGGTAGTTATTAGCTATTGTGACTTCGGTCAGAGCTGCCTTCCTCTTGCTCACTGCCATTTTCTTTCCATACATGTTTAGAAAGATAGGATGCCCTCTGCATAGGGACATTTTTTCGACTGTCAGCACCATTATTTATCTTAGGTATTTTGAAGAAAATGGGGATATCATGACAAGTGCCAGCATAGTGGAGGCCAACATCCTCCACAAATCCCCCAAAAGAAAGGTCTGTATTCCGGTAACCCACGCTGCCTTTCCAGAGCGCTCACATCCTTAAGTCCTTGGAATCCTTGTGGGACAAGGGCAATTAGTGAAAACCTTCTGATGACTTCTATAATGTGTCCACCCACACACAGGGACCAGGAGCACAGATCAAGCTTTCACCACCCAGCTATCAAGAGGTAACAACTTTCACTTACTATTGACCAAGATTAGGTCTGAACTGAAACCCCAGAGATAACATTCTGGTTCAGTTTTATTCCATATAGCCTCTGATCCTCTTTTCATGGCCAGCAATTAACAGCGTTACCATCTCTCACGTGTAAAAAACTCCAACTCCACTGCTAATCCTCCACATCTGTGAACCTTTGGTAATGCATATTTTGGTGTGTGTCATTTTGTCGAGGAGGTTAGCAAAAGCATACCTTCTTCCCTTTATTAATTTATCCTAAATATTGACTAAGAAGTACACAAAAATCTGGTAACTTTAACTGAATAATTAAATCACAGAATCACAGAATCACAGAATGGTTAGGGTTGGAAGGGACCTCTGGAGATCATCTAGTCCAACCCCCCTGCCAGAGCAGGGTCACCTACAGCAGGTTGCACAGGACAGCATCCAGGCGGGTTTTGTATGTCTCCAGAGTGGGAGACTCCACAACCTCTCTGGGCAGCCTGTTCCAGTGCTCCACTACCCTCAAAGTAAAGAAGTTCCTCCTCATGTTAAGATGGAGCTTCCTAGGTTCAAGTTTATGCCCATTACCCCTCATCCTATCACTGGGCACCACTAAAAAAGACTGCTCCCATCCCCCTGGCATCCTCCCATTAAGTATTTGTAAGAATTAATAAGATCCCCCCTCAATCTTCTTTTCTCTAGACTAAAAAGACCCAAGTCCCTCAGCCTTTCCTCATATGAGAGATGTTTCAATCCCCTAATCATCTTCGTTGCCCTTTGCTGGACCCTCTCCAGCAGTTCCCTGTCCTTCTTGAACTGGGGAGCCCAGAACTGCATGCAGTACTCCAGATGCGGCCTCACCAGGGCAAAGTAGAGGGGGAGGATGACCTCCCTCGACCTGCTGGCCACACTCTTCTTGATGCACCCCAGGATTCCATTCGCCTTCTTGGCCGCCAGGGCACATTGCTGGCTCATGGTCATCCTGTTGTCCGCTAGGACTCCCAGGTCCCTCTCCACAGAGCTGCTCTCCAGGAGGTCAGCCCCCAACCTGTACTGATGCATGGGGTTATTCCTCCCCAGATCCAGTACCCTACACTTACCCTTGTTGAATTTCATCACGTTTCTCTCTGCCCAACTCTCCAGCCTGTCCAGGTCTCGCTGTATGGCGGCACAGCCTTCTGGCGTGTCAGCCACTCCTCCCAGTTTTGTGTCATCAGCAAACTTGCTGATGGTACACTCTATCCCTTCATCCAGATCATTGATGAATATGTTGAACAAGACTGGGCCCAGTACTGACCCCTGAGGGACACCACTTGTTACTAACCTCCAACTAGACTCTGCACCACTAACCACAACCCTCTGAGCTCTATCTGTAAGCCAGTTCTTAATATTAATACGCTTCATCACTTTTCAATCTGTGCATACACACTCACAAACTCTATTTCTCTGCAATCTAAACATTTGAAAAATACAAAGAAATTCCACAAAAGAACCTTTTAAATTTTACAAGAAATACAGCACATGACTAAAAGCATTTAATTTATAAGTATTACTTCACATATACCATATCCAGATTGGCAAGTCAAAATCATACCTGATGTGTCTTATTGGAAGCTCTTCAGAAGAAACCACACCAAGATTTTACGGAAAAAGATATCCTTGAAATTTTTAGAGGCAGTGCAGGTATCTTGTGCTGTTCTTCATTTCAGAACCTCCCTAAATACTGGCAGCACTTTAATAACTAACTTCAGTTAACTTTTACAAGAAAAGGAAGATTTCACTGTGGCCTTGACCATTGAGCCTATCCTCAGGAGGGATGATAAGAGTCATTTCTTAAAGTTCTCTGTGATATTGCTTAACTTTGTTTGGTGAACTGTTTCTGATTGGTCTGCAGAGACTAATATGGGAAAATAGAGATGAATAAGGACTGCCTGTTGCAATCCTGTCCTGTTCATCTGCCAGGCTTCTGTTGAGTATGGTGGGAAGTGGTGATCAGAGCTCAGCTATGGTAACCTTCATTTCTGAAGGAGCATGAGCCAGTGGTAAGGCAGATGGGATTTCTGGGCATGCGAGCTCTGAGCAAGGTGTGCCACTGTGAACCTTACTCCCAAGCACCTCTAAGGGACCCTCAATTGCTTTTCCAGAAGCAATTTCTGTTTCCTCAGATCATTGCCAAAAATATCCTTTGCAGGGATTTCCAACGGTCAGCTGTGAGTTGGTGGACCTGACACTGCGGCATCCCCGTGACAGCTGGTGGAAGGGTGCAGACCAGGCATGCAGCCAAGTGTTGGGGCACAAATGTGGCATAGGAGGGCCAGGCAGTCCTGCAGGATCCTGCTCCCCTCCACTGCCTATAGAGGAACTGAGGGAAATCATCCTCCCTAGGCCAAAGTGAGCCTTTGTAAACATTTCCCTGAGATACCTAAAACCACCTAAGGAGATAGCTGAAATAACATTTTGATGCCTCAGGCTGTAATTTCGGTAGTAGGTGCCCGTGTTCAGGACAGCAGTAAAACCTCAGTGCTGAAGACACCATAGCATCAAAGTTCTCTGATGAAAACCATCCTTAGGACCCTTTCCTTAGGTCATGCTACCACGAACACCAAGAAATGCTTCAGCCGCGGTATCAGGAAGGTCGTGGGGTGCCAGGGTCCTTAGGCCACTCCTCTGGGCTTGAAGCCAGGGCTTGCCTTAGCCTTTGGAGGTTTGAAATCACAGACCCTGCCCTTGAAGAAAGGGTTTTCTTCATCTGGTGAAAGGGCATGGCGTGGAAAAGGGCACCCTGTGTACTCTAGAGGGACTGTCACACACATGGGTCTAGGAGGAGAAGAGGCAGGAGGAGCCTGGTATTCTGTTCTCGGGTGGTTTGCACGTATTTCAGTCAATGATTAAACCAAGAAGTAGCGGAGCAAGTATGACCCCAATATCTGCTCCCCGCAAAGTGCGAGCTCTATTAGCCTACTCAATGAGGATTTCTCTCCTGCACTTTAGCCCACAGCTGCGGGTTCCCTGAGAGTCTTTATGGACCTCAGGTGCTTTTGAAAGTTGGAGCTACATTTCTAACCAAGTCCATAAGCTCTCCTTGTCAATAAAGATCCCAGGTCACTTCCTAAACTGTTGAGAGTACCTTCTCTGTGACAGCAAATCCCTGTTTTTGGTAACTGTGGTTAAGCTTAAGAAATTTGCCGCAGATTGTAAAACTGACACAGAAAATACTTTTACCATTGAAATAACAAACATTTTAAAAGATGTAAACCAGCTCAAATTGTGAAACAATTAAACAGTTTTTGGCCTCCCTCCTCAAAGTGCAGGCATGATGTGGTCACAGAAGTGCTTAAAAACCACTCTGAAGAGTTGAATGTATTCTTAATTCTTTGTATTCAGGATATGTCATGAGAAGCTGCAACGTAAAAGAGTAGGACAGATTTTTTAGGACTAGTTTTTAGTGCAGGAGAGACTCTTGGCTCTAATGAAGTCAGTAGAGTCTTGTTCTTAGCTTCATCACATCCATCTGTGAGTGCTTTACTCTTGGATTATTCCCACTAATTCACTGAAGCGATAAGATGCTACATGGAGTGACGCAGGGTATAACTGCTTTAGCCTTTCTGTTTGCAGCAGTAACATTAAGAACATGATTCTCTCCTGATAGTGCAGAAGAGGCTTTGTGCACAAGAGTCATACAGGAACAGATCACCTCTGTCCCACACTGCAGGAGTTAAGCTGTGCAAAGCCCTGATGGCTTTACACCAGGTGCTTAAACATCAGGTGCTAAACTCCATAACCAACAGGGAGCGCGTGGCCTTTTCTGCCAAGGCAGAGCAGAAGAGCAGGAAATTAAAATTTCTTATTGCTCTGTGTCTCAGGCAGCCCCAGAAATGCAGAGATTGCAGTGCCGTAAATCAGTCACAGCCTGATCCCTTGCCAAGTCTCAAGTACCCTCAGCTTCCTCTTGTTTTCATGGGAGCTGAAAACTACCCACAGCTCTTGAAAGCAGCTTGGTGAGCTGAGCTCTGAAGGGCTTCTCGTGCACTGCCTCCCGCCCTGGCCAGGATGGGGAGGGAGGAACAAGTGGCAGGAGGGAGATAATACAGTAACAAATTGTCTGAGAGGCTTATGACTGCAGAGAGAAGCTATTTTTCACAGAGGAAAGAAAACAGTTCTGCCGGAGATGCATTTTACTTGTCCTGTGAAGAGCTCCACGTCTTTCTTTAGTGTTAAATAAACACCAGTATCAACACTGGGAGATTAGCTGGCTGAGAATGTGGATAACAGCATCAGCCCGTGATGATTTCTAGCGTTTCCCAATGTTTTCTTTCACCATGTGCTGTATGAAGCTTCTGTTCTCATGTGCCGCTTTCTGGCCACGTCCTGTCTTCTGCTGCCCATCTGGTCACCCTGCTTCCACATTCTGCCCAAAACCTTCCAGCCAAATATCGCTCACAATAGCATCTGTTGTGGTGCTTCTAGTGCAAAACACCCCAAACTCAAGTTCTTCCAACCCTTTCAAATACAACACTGCTCTTCTTGGGCAGCTCAGTGGGTAAAAGAAACATGTTCTATTTTGCTCAGCAGTAAGCGTGGTAGTCAGTTTGGGCACGCACCGCTGGTGCATGCCAGTTCCTCGCTCCCATTTTGGAGGAAGGACAGGGACCACAGCCTGTGGAGGGCATCCTCAGGAAGATCTGAAGCCCCTACTGGGGACCTCCAAGAAACAAAAGGAAAAATGGATGGCCCTGAGAAGTATTAATGGAAAGCAGAGGTGTCACTTGTACTCACAGACTCAGGACACCAATGCCAAAAGGAAGCATATTGTCATTTCATGTTCAGCTTCTTATGCTTTCTAG